GGGACTGCGCAATGTAGATTTTTGCCTGCATGATAGAGTGAACTTTCAGAGGGAGGACTTGAGTTTCCTGATAGAGGTGATCTACATTGGTCTTATTAACACAGCCGGTGGCGATGCGGAGAGCAGCGTTCTCAACGCGTTGGACTTTCGCCCAGCTGGCGCCGCTAAACAGTGGGGCAAAGATAACTGATGCATGCTCAGTCGTTGCTTTACCTGTTGCCCGGTATGTCATGACTAGCGTCCCAGTGTCCTGGCCCCAAGAAGAACCTGCCAAAGCATCCCGTCGTTGCATGAGTCAGAAAACGGTTAGGAACATGCAGCAGATTGAATTTCACAGAATGTCAATGTATAACGGCAAGGATCATAGTTCAGTTTAAATAATAGAGGAAGGACATTACATTAAATCAGCCTATAGGGAGAAAATGGGGGAGAGGGAGAGGAAGTTGGCGCAAACCAAGTCGTGATTAAAATAAGCTTCCCCATTACCAAAGTAATTGGAGATTGAGAAGTAGAAAGCGTTGCGATCACCGGAATCATACTTTTTCTTGTCTGAGTTTTCGGGCTCTTTCGGCAAAATCGAAACAACGGTCTACAGGAAGGCGACGAACACAACGTAGCTTCTCACTTTCCACAGCAGCCGTCCGGTGGCCCACAAAAGAAGCTGCGTAAAAACACTCTTCAAGAGAATTTTAGACTAATTACAGTAATCCGGAAGAAAAGGCACGTAAGGCCCGATATCTCCGCGACTAGTTTATGCGGAATGCCTATCCGAAGGCCTTCATAAGCCGATGCCTACGCGCTCGCCCTCCGAGGACCCAACCAGGACCAACCTGTACGATATGGCATGCGCTGCCATACATCAAGGTGTATCAGAAGCGACCGAACGCATTGCTGCGCGACTAGGCGTCGGAATTGCACACCGTCCCAAGGCTACCATGCGCAGCTGGATTATGCGAATCAAGGACCGTTTAGATCCCAGTGAGCAATCGGGCGTCGTGTATCGCATACCATGTCTAAATTGTTCCCGAAACTACACAGGACAGACAGGACGTATGCTTGGTTCGCGCATATGCAAACATAAGCGGGCGGTACGAGGGGGTGACACCTTATCGCAAGTGGCTGCCCATACCTACGAGACCGGTCACTAGTTTAATTTCGCAGCTGCGAGGGTAATCGCGCACGCTGGCAACAAAACAGG